CCACTGCACTCCAGTCTGGGTGACAGAGTGAGACTCCGACTCAAAAAATAAAAAGTAAAATAAAATAAAAATGTCTTTTAAATAAAAAATAAAGTAGAGCTTCCTGGGAATAAAGAGAGGAGAGGAATAGCATAATGTCAAGCCTGCTCCCAAAGAAAGGGCATACTTGCTGGACTGTGTGAGGACTTTAGGATAAGGGTATAAACGGGAACGCTGTCAGGGAAGTCAATAATTCTACACAAACAGCGACTCAGTGCTGGACACCCAGTAGGAGACTGGATGCAGTTTTATTCTACTGCCAAAGCCCCGAGTCCAGGTATTAGAAACTGTAAGAAAGAAACAGTTGAGAGGCGCTGAATAGGAATGCCAGTCTTGGCTTCATTACTAATAGGCATTGGAAAGTTGGACTTTGACTTACTCAAAGCCTCAGTTTACTCATCTGTAAACTAGGGTAAATGACATCTACCCAACTTACCTACCAGAGATAATGTGTAAATAAAATGAAATGAAATAGAAGATCTGAAAATGCTCTGGCAAAATTTTATACATATAAAAGCTATTCGGGATCATCCCACTTTACAAGTTCAAGTCTGAGAAAACCCCACTAAATCTTTTGGAACTGCATTGTTCAATACTGGCTGCATTGTTGGCTATCAAGTACTTAAATGTGACTTGGGCAACTGAGGAACTGCATTTTAAATTTTATTTAATTTTAATTAATTTAAATGGAAGATCTGATACTAAGTTCAGTTATTGGAAAACTTTTAAGTACATTTGGAACAACTTGGATATGTGATTCTTTTCCCCCCAGTGCTTTTAATATTTTATTTTATTATTATTTTTTTGAGTTGGAGTCTCATTCTGTTGCCCGGTCACCGCAGCCTTGACCTGCTGGGCTCAGGCAATCCTACTGCCTCAGCCTTCCAAATAACTGGAACTACAGGTGTGTGCTGCCACACCTGGCTAATTTTTTTTTTAACTTATTGTAGAGACGAGGTCTCACCATGTTGTCCAGGCTGGTTTCAAACTCGCAGGCTCAGTCAATCCACTTGACTCAGTCTCCCAAAGTACTGGGATTATAGGCTTGAGTTACCGTGCTTGACCAAAATTTTATTTTTTATCAGTACATAATTGACATATATATTTTTGGGTACATTTGATATTTAATACATTCATGTAATTTATAAAGATAAAATCAGTGTAATTGGAATCTCCATCACCTTAAATGAACCTTTTCAAACTAAATGTTATAGACTCTAAATATATACTTGTTCTGGTGACATTTAGTGTTTGCATTGAGATGTGTGCAAGTGTAAAATACACACTAAATTCCAAAGACTTAGCAAAAAAAAAAAATCCTATTAATGATATTTTATATAGAGTGTGTGTTGAAGTGGTAATACTTCTTATATATTGGGTAAAATAAAATAAATCATAAAATAAATTTTTTCCATTTTTGTACTTTTCTTAATGTAGCTGCTAGAAAATTTAACGCTTTGCACTCAGAGACATCTTGCAGATCACCTACCAGCAACATGACCACACTTTTTTATGAAATAGTGAAAAATGAATCACTTCATATTAAATAGTATGGCATTGAACCAATTATTTTAGTGTAATGATATTTGGAATTTAGGACATTGAAGGACTTATTTATGACCAAAAAAAAATCAAAATTTTGTATCATATATATGATATATAATGTGTGGTAACATATGAAACAGTCACCAACATGCATTGAAGTTTATTGATTCATGTTGTGCAATGGTAATTTGTTGGATGTCTTCCACTTGGTGTTTTTTTTATTCGAACAGACAATGGAATCTTGTTTTCTTCCTACCACATTGATAACATGTAATTTATTGTCCAGTCTGTTGTTCAAAGACAATGTGGAAGGACATACTGGTGATCCCTGAAAAACATTTCTCAACTGATTGATCAGAAGTTTGACAAATTTCAAATAAGACAGATTTTTCATTGTTTGTTTGTTTTCTCTCTGATGCTTGGTACCATATATAGGAGTTAATAACACATATTTCTAGTTCCCAGAAGAATAATTTCCTCCATCTTTTTAAAGAATTCCACCAAAAACAATATGTAGAAGCACACTGACTTGCATGATCATTTCAGGCTTTTTGACAGATATCTTATTTCTACCATGTAATGTCATGGTAGATTTCATTCCTGCATGATTCCAAGGGCTGAGAATTTTAATGAGCCTTTGTCCTTCCACTCAAGAAGCATAAGATTATTTTTCCCATATGCTACTGTCTTTTTTGTTGTTGTCGTTAAAACCTTTGGCTTTTTTATTTGTGCTGGTATTCCCTTTTGGTTGATTTTGTAAGATGACATTTCATCTTTAGTATCTCGTCTGCTAGGACAATACGAGTGTAATATCTGTCAGTACACATGTGACATCCTGATGCTTTGGGCACTTTTTCCAACAGTTTTTAAACATAAATGTTAATGGAATTCTAGTGCTTACTGGAAGATCAGGCTAAATGATGTTTTTGGATGTTATGCTGCCATAGTAGGGAAGTATTGAAAAAGACTCTGTTTTAATCAGCTAGTGCATAAATGTGTATACCCAATTTGCTAGGCTTATTTGGATTATGTTATAAATGATATTCACCCTTTAAATTGAAGAATGGATTCATCAACACAAATTGCCTGATCTGGTATGAAATATTGCAAATGCTTTGAATCGATGTATGCCAAACAATTATTGGCCTTTTGAATATGAGTTTTGATCATCCCATCGACACAGGAGTCTTCAAATGAAGCATCCAGAAGATTTGCATAAACCTGTCTCTCCTGAATGTTTCCAAAGAGTATTTTACTATTGAAAGCAGTTGACCAGTAGTCTTGCAAATGTGGTACTTGAATTATTCCCATATTTAGGATAACTGTGATAAATGCTAAAGATTCCTGTTGGTCAACGTCATGCTACTTACGCCAAAACAATTTGTGTGTAGCCGTTTTTTCTGTGTTTTCCATCTGTGTAATGATTTGTTTCTTTTATGACACTATCCACTAGTTCATTTGTAAAATACAGAGTAAAATAGCCAATTGGTCCTCTTCTATTACTTGCTATTTGCGGTCCTGTTGTTTGAGGACGTACAACAAAACTGTTATTGCTGGGAGATGACTTTTTTCTGTGACATCTTTCCATTCTTCGCTCGATACGTTCATCTTCTACTTCTTCGAAACTGCTAACACTTGCAGCGTTAGTGACTTGTAACTTGCTTTTCTATCTTTTTATGACATGTGATGCACAGGGTAGACCCACAGCTGCCTCTCTTATACAAATGTTTGCTATCGCTACCTTCTGTTTCAAAGAAGTGTTGCACCACCGTGAAAGCACTTCACATGTTCTCTTTCTACATGATGCCAACTGACTTCTTCCTCTTCTTCTTCTTTTATTTTTTATTTTTTACATATATCCCAGTATATTCCATCTCTTGATTTGTTTTTTCTTGCCATTTGAATGGAAAACTTCAAGGAAACACACATTTAAAAAAAATTTGTGCTGGCATAAGTTTGTCCTGTATAATCACCAGCAATCTCTTTATGTCCCCTGAGAGGTGACGTCGGAGTGGTTTCTGATGTCCCCTCAGAGGGGACACCCAGCGCACAGGGCTACGATCACAGGCAGCTTGCAGTCTGCTTTGGTTGGGGAGCAACGCTTTAGACAGAGGCAGCACGCAAGGAGGCCCTGACTTCCTTAAAGGAACTAGGAAGGGGGTCACGGCAGAAATAAGTTCCACAATCCCAAGCAGAGTGCTGGCCACATTTCTTGAGTGTCTGAGAACCCATGGCAGGAATACTGAAACGCACGGATCCGTCCCTGGTTCCTTCCCACGTTCAAGCACAAAACACTCCATCCTGAAACTCTTGTCATCATCATCACCTTGGTAGAACGAGACCGCGGTGGTTATCCGGGGACATCAGCGCTTTAATGACTAGCGGACTTCAGGAGAAGCGAGTGGCTGTGGAAGACTCCCCAAACCATCGTAAGCTTTATTTTTCACTTCTGCTCTTTTTTTTTTCTCCTGGCAGTCACCATCATTTTATTTATTTATTTATTTATAATAAATTTTTTTATTATGATATTGTGGGGTACAGTTAAGAGTTAGGTATACAAGTACGTTTCGTTCAGGCACCCTTGATGATAAGAGGTGTTTCCCTGTCCCCAGACAGATATTTACTACCGTCAATCTCCTCTCCCTCCCCCCCCATAGTTTCCCACTACTGTCAGTCATTTTCTTATAGTATACATTGGATGTTCAAGGTCCACTATATGAGTGAGAACATGTGATACTGGGATCTTTGTTCCTGTGAGAGGTCACTCAGTATTATAGACTCTAGTTCCATCCAGGTTGCTGCGAAATTCATGATTTTGTTCTTTTTTATGTTCAACCTCACTAATCATCAGGGAGACGCAAATCAAAACCACACTGAGATATCACCTAGCTCCAGTCGGAGTGGCCATTATCAACAACTCCAAAAATAACAGCCGCGGGAGAAAAGGGTGTGGCGAAAACTTCTACACGGTTGGTGGGAGTGCAAACTAGTGCAACCTCCGTGGAAAACAGCGTGGCGATTCCTAAAAGCACGTCTGCTCTTTCAGAGTTTGCCTCAGCCCCAACGCGTGGTGGAAATGCCCCGTTCCAGCAATCGCCCCTCTCTGGTCCTGAATCCTTCCTTCCAGAACAGCCTTGTTTTGGAAACGCTTTGGGCGCAGGCTGGGCCGGGCGGCGGAGGAAGTCTGGCGGGCCCAGCACATCTGGAAGCGCTTTGCGCCCCCCCCACCCCCCACCCCCCACCCCCGCCAACTCCCCGTCCCTCCCGCCCCCGCTCGCCACCCCTCGCCAGCGCAGCGCCTGGGCTGGGCTGCCCCGCGCTGGGGAGAGAAACCCGAGCCTCTCCGACTCCGCAGAGCCAAGAGGGGCCGGGCGGGGGGCCGGGGGACACATTCCCCTGGAAACGTCACATTAGCCCTGGGGCTCTCCGGCGCTTGGGGACTTCCAATGGGATCGTCGACGCGGCCGCCGCAGTGAGGGCAGCCGCCCAGGGCCAGCCACGGTCTGGACGCCCTGCCCTGCAGCTCTTGTGGATCCGGAGCCCGGCCCGGCCCTCGCCCTTCTCCAGGTAAACAGAGACGTTTTCCAGCAGCGTAATTACATCCCGTGGGCGGCAGTCCCTTGCTCCCGGCCCAAGATTGGGTAAATCAGAGGTGTCCGACGGTCCGCACAAACTTTGCCCGCGGAAGCTGCGGGGATTCGCAGCGTTCCACGGAAACCCGGCTGGCCGGCCGCGCCGAATTCAGGGTGCGCGTCTTCCACGACTGCTGCTCCAGACCTGGGCTTATGCCTCTTCTCCCCCTGAAACAGTGTAATTTCCTATTTGCATCGGATTTTAAACATAGAGATCAGAAGCCAGACAAGACGTGGATACATCCGAGGATGTAAGGAAGGTCCCTTCTGAGCCACCCATGATTTCATTGGGACCGTGACTCCTGTTTTCCGAATCTGCCCTAGGAGGTTGCCCTGAGGGCCTCCATGTCCCCGGGAAGAACTGGCGGTCAGTCGTGGAAGTCTGCGTGAGGCTTGTTGTCAACCCGGTGGTCGCCGTGTTTGGGTTGAAAATGTTTTTTGACATGCAGAAATTTCCTTAGGGCCCCTTGATGGGAAAGTGTGATGGGTTAGATAAGCCAGATAGGGTATCATCTGTCGTTACGCGGTAAGCTAAGAAGGGAGAATTAATTCTCTTGTAAAAACAAGAGAAAGGAAACACGATGATATCTGAATATCTGCATGTGCTGTGGTCCTCTAGCTGTTTGGGTCCGTGCAGCCCAACACCCTAAGTGATACTGACTGGTGGGTTGGCTGGTGGATTTTTGTCTCTTCCTTTTCCTCCGAGTGTCTGGGGTTGACTTCTGCAGACTCTCCTGTCTGTATTACATCACGGAATTCCAGTGCTCCCTTTGATGCAGTTAGGAGAAGGGCTGTTTGCCGCAGTTGTGAGAACATGGGCCCTGGGCCAGGCTCACCAGAGGGAATCTTATAAAGCTTGCCTGTAGGTGAATTGCTTAACATGGATGTGCCTCTACTTCCTCATCTGTGAAATGGGAATTCAATGACACAATGTCTATAAAGGAGTTAACACAGGGTCTGCAAAGTAGCGAGGACTCAGGGAAAGTTTCTCTGGTGGTGCTGACGATGACATGATGGCAACAGTGACTACATATCCTGCTTTTGGCAACACCTTGTGTTGATACATTATTGCCACTGCCAGTCTGGTGGTGCACATGTTCCTCTTGGCCTCCCATGTGAGCTCTTCAGGACTTTGCTTCCTTCCTTCCTCCAAACACCTGTCTTTCTTTCTTTCCACTCTGGCTTTCTTTATTTCTTCTCTGTTCTTTCCTTTTCCTTGCTGAGAGAAAGAAACCACAGCCCTCAGAGTTTTCATTTCTAGTTCCTTGGGAGCGTGATTCTAGATGCTTCTTTTATTTCAGCATTTTCCAAAGAATGTTCTGAAGAGCATAGTCCCGGGGGAAAAATATGTTCTGTGATCCATGTCATCCTCTTTGAGATCTCAAGGTATAATCGCATTTTAAAGGTCCAGAGAAGTCCTACAGCAGATAAATCCTCTAAAGGCTGTTGAACACAATGGTTCCTCATCAATTGATCCCAGAATCATTGTGTCATATACTGCCAATTAACAATTCTCAGAGCACACTCTGGATATCCTATTCTGGATACTTCTTTTGTTTATGTGTTTCCTCTTATGGACATCTGACTTCATACCTCCCCTGGAGAACATCCAAGGTGATATCTTGTTCTTCCTTCCCGAGTTAAGGACATAGATTGATCACGTGCTGTATTGATATATAGGAAATCTGCCTAAAGGGGAGATCAGGGGTCAGCAAACCTTTTCTGCAACAGGCCAGATAATAGCCCGTATGGTTTCTGTTGCAACTGCTATTCAACGCTGTGGTTGTAGTGTAAAAATAGCCATTGACAAACAAAAAATGAGCATAGCTGTGTTCGAACAAAACTTTATTTAAAAAACTGGCGACAGGCAGAATGCTGATCTCCGATCTGGGGGGGTTTGTGAAAGGATGCCTCATTCTAGCATAGGATAAAGCAGACAAGTTCTTTGCACACTGAAGATTCCCTTGTCCTGCTTCCCTATTGCTGTGGTCTGAAGGTGAGTGTCCCCCCAAACCTCACAGGTTGAAATCCTAACCCCCAAGGCGATAGTATTGGGAAGTGGGATCTTTTGAGAGCCATTACCAGTAGGCTTAGTGCCTTTATAAATAGGTCCGAGGGTGCTCGTTCATGCCTTCTGCGCATGAGGACATAGCTAAAAGGCGTCATCTGTGAACCAGAGAGCAGGCCCTCACCAGACAGAATCTACTAGCACCTTGATCTTGGACTTCCCAGCCTCAGAATCTTGAGAAATAAAAGTCTGTTGTTTAGAAGTCACCCAGTTAGCCAGGCTTGGTGGCTCAGTCTGTAATCCCAGCACTTTGGGAGGCCAAGGCGAGTGGATTGCCTGAGCCTGCGGGTTCAAGACCCACCCAGGCAACTTGGCAAGACCTTGCCTCTACAATAAATAAAAAATTACCTGGGTGTGGTAGCATGTGCCTGTAGTACCCACTACTTGAAAGGCTGAGGTGGAAGGATCGCCAGAGCCCAGCAGGTTGAGGCTGCAGTGGCCAGAAGCGTGTCACTGCCCTCCAGTCTGGGCAAAGGAGTGGGACTCCGACTCAAAAAAAAAAAAGTCACCCAGTTAATAGAAGCCACCCAGTTAATGGCATTTTGTAGTAGCTGCTTGATTGGAGAAAGACACCTGTCCTGTGTATTTTGGTGGGTATTGAGAAAACTTTTCATGCTACAGCAAAAAGTGAAAATGCAAGATGTTATTTTGTCAGAGGCCAAACCTCTGACTCCTGATTGTGCCCCTTCTCTTTTCTTCAGGTGAGTCCTTGCCCTTGTCCTGTTCATGACACTCTAGCTTGCATGATTCAAGGTGAAGTGCTCCATCAATTGTTTTATGCAAGTGAGAACTTCAGGGTGCAAGTCTCACAGATTTGATTCACAGAGCTTGGCTGTTGCTTGACACAGTGACAGCCGTCATAGCAATGGGAATGGTTCGCAGTTATAACTATTAAGGTGGTTAATAATGCTAACTCAGAAATAAAAAAAAAAAAAGAAATGTGAACTTAGAGCCAAATGCCTATGCCTGCACGTTGGCTCTGCCATTCATTAGTTGTGTGACCGTTGGCAGGTCTTTTGACCTCTCTGAGCCTGTTTCTTCATCTGTGTATTAGGGATAATAACCATATAGAGTTGTTGTGATAATCAAATGAATTAATATTTATAAAAGTCTTTTTTTTTTTTTTGAGTCAGGGTCTCACTCTGTTGCTCAGGCATGAGTGTAGTGGTATCATCACAGCTTACCGCAGTTTTAACTTCCTGGGTTCAGGTGATCCTTCTGTCTCAGTGTTTCAAGTAGCTGGGATACAGGCACATGCCACCATACTTGGATAACTTTTTTTTTTTTTGGTATAGGTGAGATCTTCCTATATTGCCTAGGCTGGTGTCAAACTCCTGGGTTCAAACAATCCTTCTGCCTCAGCTTCCCAAAGTGCTGGAATTATAGGCATGAGCCACTATGCCTGTCTATAAAAGTCTTAAAACAATGCCTGGCACATATAATTCCCATGTGTTGAAATACTAATAGGCAACATATGACAATTTCTATGTAATCTGCAGAACAATCCCATTTTGCAGATAGGATTTTGTAAATTGTCCAAGATTATCCAGCTAATAAATGTGGGAGAACCAGGATTCAAAGCCAGCTCTGTCTAATGACAAAGCCCATATTTCCATTAATGTGCATAGTCTCTCTTATTTAAATCATTCAACAATACCTTTCAGGAGTTTCTCTTTTATCTTCCATTTTGATTCTCAGGTTCTATCTGCACCCATGGCAGACATGATTTATCAAGCATAGTACTCTTTTTTGTTTGTAACCTAGTCTGAGGATGGCTTTAGATTTCTTTTCAATTTAGCAATCCTGAAATCCCCTACCAACTAACAGAGCTGGCATGTACAATGAAACCTAGGGGTTCTGATTTTTGGAGTGTTTTCCAAAAAGCCCTTCCCACTTTGCCTTTTCTTCCAAGGCAGAGCTAATTGCCTTACCCACCGCCAGGTCTCAAAACATTCTTTCTAGGTTTGGCTACAGGCCCAAACTCTTTGGCATCTGGTAAAACGGCTCCCCGTGCAGGGCCTGCGGGGACCTATTTTTAAACCTACCAGCCTCTACCTCGGGTCCAAAACTCTCTGAGCTTCCTTTTATTCCCAGTGACAGGCCCCCGGGTCTCAGCGGTCCTACCTTCTCTCTTTGAAGCTGTCACTGCCCAGGGCCTGAGCTAGGGATTCTTCTTTCCTGCACTGGCCTGTGGGGACTCTGCACCATCTCCCTGGCCATTCTGATACAGGCTCTTTCAAGCTAAGGGCTGCCTGTTCAGGACCGCAGGGAAACCACCATATAAAGTCACTCAGTCTGGGGAGCTTATGCAGAGGCAGGGGGCACAGTCGCTGTGATGGGAACAGGAAGGCTGATGAGAAGACCAGAGCCCTCTGTTTTCTTTCCTGGAATGGGCCCATCAACAATTCCCTCCTTCCAACTTTTCTTCCTCGCTGAAGGGTGTGCTGAACCTTTCTTTCTGGGACTGAAGAGCAGGGCAAGAGGCACCTCTACCCTTTCTTTCTCTCCCCTGATTGTCATTGATTCAACACCCATTTATTGAATTCCCACCTTGGCAGGGCAGGCCTACCGAGGTGGGGAAGCCACAGTCCCTGAAAGGTCTTGTGGTTTAGTGGAGGAGACAAGCACGCCACAATATTAGAAAACACTGTGGTGAGTGCAGGGATAGGAATGGAGATCATGGGAGCACCCCGACAGGGTAATTGGGTGAGGCTTCCTGGAGGAGGGGGTACCTGAATTGAGTTTTTAACACACAAGTAACAATTTCCTGGGGAGGAAGAAGGGAAAAGGGCATTTCAGGAGGGACTGCACAAACCAAAGTCTAGAGGCAAGAAAAGCATAGACAGGTGTAGGGAACAGCAGAGGGC